TTAAAATATTTTAAGTCCGTCTTCCGACAAGATTGCGATAACATATTATAAATATATAACTACTTTAAAAAGTATGCAAATTCATGAATAACCTATATTATGTAGGTACCTACTTATTGTAAATAATTTTATTCTGCATGCATAAACATATGAATGCATATATATTAATAATAAAAATATTTCAAACTATATTAACTTCTTAATTATACAATAAAAAAAAAAATGTTTTCTCTTCGGTCGCCGCGCTCAAAAGTGTAACTTACTAACTTAAATTTATATCATTCAAAAATAAATAGTTATAATTACATGATACATAGCTAAAAAATTGCTATGCAATAGCTTCGTCGCCGCAGTCCCCGAATGACACTCATCTTTTTTTTCCAATTTTACAGTCACGTACTCACGTAGCCATACATACCTACCTTAAACTATTTTAATTACAAATACAAATTCAAAGATATGTTTATCATACATTTAAGAAACTATATATAATATGCACCTATATGGCTTCCCACTTTCCCAGTTTGGCGTTTACTCTATGACTCAGTCGGTCATTTTTACTTTTTTATCGGACATGCTGCTTGCCAGTGGTCAAGACCACCAATTAATTATTTATAAAATTAATGAAATGCTCTCTTTCACTAAAGGTAGTAATTTAACTGACCAAACTTATGCTATTCTATTATATAAGCTCAAAATAACCATCATACATATTACCATAATCAAAAAATGTTTTCAGTTTTATAGGTACCATATAGCTACCTATAAKCATAATAAATAGTAATATATGAATAATTCTATAAATATTAATAACCAATAAATATTGTAAAAAAATTAAGCTAAAACAATCAAGTATTGACTTTGTATTTTAGTGCTAATTACTATTTACTATATATCTGCAATTAAATATATATGTTACGGTAAAAGTACGAATACCGGTTAAACCTAGGATTTACCGGTAAATCCTAGGTTTCGCCGACTACTGTTGGTAAATGTCGGAAATTCGGAATTGATTTCGGTAAAACCTAGGATACACAACATCATTTGGTCAAACCCCGAATGATTTTTATAGTTCGGACTTTTACAAACGAGATTTGGTAAATCTTAGGATAAACAATCACTGTTAGTAAAAGTTCAAACATTTTTAGTTTTTACCAAATGTATTTATTATTATTGTTATTTAAGTTTATTTAGGTAGGTACTACATAAATGCCTATAATATATTAAATACACACATTTATATTATTGTTATATATTATGAGATTATGACAACAAATTCATATAATTATTACACAATATTATTGCTGTAATGCTGTTTATTATTATTGTTGTTATTATTATTATTAAATACTAATGCAAAAATTGACATATTAAATGCACTAGGAACATTTATTACTAGTATATTATTTTTATTATGATTAAATTATTTATTTGTGCAGGCTTGGCTACTGTGACACCCCGAGTTCCACAATACATTTTTGGATCGGCATTTACATCTGTTTGTTACACATTTTTTCAAACAGTCACACCTTATTAGTCCTTGTCCACCAGTCAAAGACAGTTGCGAATTTGCGATACTGCTTGTCGAATACCAATTACATTATCTGGTATAATTGCCGATTCTAGAAAATTTTCTTCACATAAGGTGAACTGATTGCGAGTGAACAGTTGTGAGAGTGTTCCCGCTTTTGTACC